TTCCTTTGAACTAGCCCTCTTGACAAAGTGCTACAGCAGGAGTTGGCTGTTTGGGGTCTGGGTGCTGGCCACCTTAGATGTGTGCTGGAAGCTTCTATGGCTAGCGTGGGGGAGGGGGGTCTGTTCCTCGCTTTTAGAAATCAAGGGTCTTGCAGTCTTCTGCTTCCCCTGGCTCTAACTCACCACAACCTCTCATCTGTGCTCAATCTGTGCATATACAACCCTTCCCCAATTTTCCTAAGTGTGATGCTGATGCTGGGGATCAAAGCCAGGCCCTGTACATCTGACACATGTTCTGTCACTGAGCCACATCTCCAGCCCCCAATTTTTTTTAGACAGTCCTCACCCATGTTAGGTTGGGGGGAAGGGCATCCTACTTCAGAATGACATCCTACTTATACTTTTGAGAACCCTGCTTCCAAATATGGCCCCATTTTGAGGTAGTGGTTAGAAGACAGTTCAATCTGTAACACCTCCAAAACCTCTGTTCTAATGAGTGGACCATAAAATGCTTTTAAATCCCTTGTGATTTGTGCTAGCTTGGGGACAGTCTCCAACTAATCCCTTAAGGCCTAGCATTTCCAGCTCCCTAAGTGCAGGAGCGCAGAGCACAGGCTTAAGATCTTTGCGGGAAAACTGGATGTCTAATGTGGCTCTGATGGTGTTCCGGGTGCTTGCTTGCTCGGCTCCAGAGACCCAGCACCACAGCTCCCCATTTTGGTGGTTCCAGATAGGTCTCTAATTGCTAGATCTTGGGGTTTTTGTTTTGTTTATATAAACCAAGTAGGATTTGCAGGGTTTTTGTTTTCCCCACAGAATAACCCTTGACCCCTGTCACTTCAGCATCCCACCATGCCTACCAACGTCAGAGCTTTCTTTCATTTCAGTGGTCTTATCCCTTAGTGGCTTCAGGCCCAGCCTTGGTTTCCTTGATAGAGTACTAGCCAGGCATGATGGTGGCCTGGGTTCTACCCCCATGGCAGAGTCCTCGAATGGTGGTGCACTCTGTAATCCCAGCAGGACTGACCAGGGAGGCAGAGGCAGGAGGATCATGGCTTTCAGGTCAGGTGCTGCTGAATTTACTTCCTCCCCCACTGAGTACTTTCTTTTGTTTTCTCACTGCTAAAAATCCATTTGCAGCCAGGGTATGGTGGCCCACGCCTTTAATTAATACCCCCACTCGGGAGGCAGAGAGACAGGTGGATCTCTGTGATTTTGAGGCCAGCCTGGTCTACAAAGCGATGGCCAGGGCTGTTACATAGAGAAACCCTGTCTTGCAAAATAAATATAAAAAAATAAAAATAAATTAAAAAATCTTTCTGCTTGCTTTTTTTTTTCCCCCCCCCCCAAGACAGGGTTTCTCTGTGGCTTTGGAGGCTGTCCTGGAACTAGCTCTTGTAGACTAGGCTGGTCTCTAACTCACAGAGATCTGCCTGCCTCTGCCTCCCGAGTACTGGGATTAAAGGCCAGTGCCACCACCTCCCCACTAAACTTTGATTTTTAAAATAAGTTCCAAAAGGAGGAAAAAATCACCCCCCCAAAAAAAAAAAGTTCAAGGTCATCCTTGGCTAAATAATGAGTTTGGGGCAAGCCTGGACCATAAAACATGTCTCAAAAGAAAAAATAGGCAGTGTTGTGGTGGTGGTACTGGCCTTTAATCCCAGAGTTTAGGAGGCAGAGGCAGCTGGATCTTTGAGTTCCAGGCCAGCCTGGTCTACACAGTGAGTTTCAGGACTGTTATACAGAAAAATCCTGTTTTGAAAAGCAAAACAAACAAAAAAAGAGTAAGTTTTATCCAGCCAGTCAGTGGAAAGCTGTTCTTAGTTGCTCAAGTTGGTAAACAGGCTGGATCCAGAGTGTTTGCTTTGTCCACACTAACCAGTTCAACCAAAATGGACAAAGTTGCTAAACAGCCTGGATCCACAGTTTCCTTTGTCCAAACTAATCAATTCAACCAAAATGAACAAGAGTTTCCTTCTCTCATCTTACCCTGACACCTTTGGACTCAAATCCACACATTCCCCAGGTTTCTGCAGAAAACCACCGGTCTTCAACCTCTCAGTTCCGACTGCTGCACCGTCCAGAGGTGGAGCCGCCCCCAGCTGTTGATGTTGAAGTGATGAGGGCTGTAGCTGGGGCACATGGGTGGACATTCTCTTTCAAGGTGACCACCCCAGGGCCTCCAACACCAGACAATTGGGAAAGCTGCTTCTGCTGGTGTGAGGAGCTATGTGGGATGACAGGATATATCCAAATCGGAGTGAATATCCCCAACTCTCATTTCATGGTCCCATTGCTTTGAGTAGGCAATGTCCTATCACACGGGAGACCTGGCACGACCCCATTTTATTTCTGGTACTTCAGCCTCGTGGCTACAAGGGAAAATATTCAGGGCTCTACTGTGCATGCCCAGAGCCCTTCCTTGCCTCACTCTGTCATCCGGCCTCATTCTTATCAGCTGGCCTGTAACTGCAGATGCTTCATCTTTCTTCTGAAAGGCTGTATGTCAGGTGCCTGGAGTTTACCATATCCCAAAGCTATGCATCTTCATTTCCTTCAAACCCAGCTTAGTCACGGAGGAGCTAGGCTTTGTGCCTGTTACCACTTCTGGAACAAGTTACCACTTCTGGAACAATAACAAAAATAACAGTTACGGGAGAAAAAACCCCCAAACTACCAATTTTAAGTAGAGTTGGAAAGCTTTGGAGGCTGGAGACTGTACTTCAGGAGGGCCCACAATTATCCTCACACTCGTGGGAACTGCTATATCCACCACCGCCCTGGAGATGAGGAACACCACAAACTGCTACCTAGGGCTGGGGGTGACCTTCCACACCCGAAAAGCACCCGCTGACCCTGGAGTGCCAGAGGAGCAGTATGAGGTGTGATGATCTTGCAGGAGCATTAGCTGAAGAAGTGAAAGCCTCCCTGTCACTCTGTCTACACTGTGTTTGGGTGTCTCACTGCCAAGGTAAGTTACATGCAGAGCCCCAGGCTTCAAGAAGTCATGGCATGAAGCTCCCAGTTTGCTTGTCTCTGCAGTACAAGATGGTATGTTAGGGACGGGTATTCATCCACCAAGCCCAAAGCCTCTATCTATCCTCAGGGACCAGACTCGCCTTCCCTCACCCCCGAGAAAGCTGGCTGCACACACCTACTGCACTGCAGCCAGCAGTACTGTCTACCTCTCTCCCAGGAGCATACCTAGCCTCATTGAGGTGGCATCTGTCTTCTTTCAGTGTAAGCTCCATGGGGACAAACTGTGTGCTTTCCTTGTTGCTACATTGCACACCTTTCTGCACTTTCCCAATGCATTAGTCATTTCTTCCGCCAGGTGGTGCTAACGGGCCTTCTTGGCTGTTAAAGCCTGGGAGCCTCAAATAAGCCACTGGTTTTCTGAGATGCTGGCTCCAGGTTTCCTTTCTTAGGAGATACCCAGAGTCTCTTTGACAGTGCTCCTTGTTATCAACATGGGCTTTACCAAAGCATTTTCAGCATAGCATCTTAACCCTGTGACCCCAGAACCAGGCTATGAGAAACAGACATGGGGGAGTAAGCTGCCCAGTTCCATAGCATTAGGTCAGCTCAGGTAAAGACTACAGGTCTGGCTCTAGATGGCACACTCTGACAGACTGCCTTTGACTTTATCCAAGTTAAGTGTTTCTTGATGAAGCTTCAGAAAAATTGCAAATTTTGAGTGGAACATTTGCATCCTAGGGGTCTCCAGCCTGCCTGCCTTTCCCCACAGGTTCCCTTAGTCACACAGGGACACTCTCTAGGACACTTTCTTACTGAGATGCATAGTCCATTAGCATTCCTGTTCCCAGGTGGCAGTGCCTGAGGTCCAATCTTCCACAGTGGCTGGATGTCTGGGATGCCTCATCCGTTACTGTGCAGGCCAGCAGGTGTACCTGCAAATGGAAACAGAAGGCAGCTGGCCCTCAGACAAAGATGCTTTCAGCTCTTCCCCTGGGCCCTGGGCTGAGGCGACAGACAAGCTGCCTAATCACAGTTTAAGGACTGGGCAAAGTGGGGGCAGAAGAAAGTAGCTGCCTGACAGTCACAACGGTTAGGTTATTGTTGCCAGATCTTGAACCTTGCATTGACTCTCTTGCTCATGTTCTCTGCAATTCTTTGTACAAGTTTTCATTCCTAAAGACATTATTTATTATCATTACTATTATTTTATGGTGCTAGGCATTGAACCCTGGGCCTTACACATGCTAGGCAAGCATTCTTCCGCTGAACTACACCTCCACCCAGCCCAAGGACCTCATTCTTGACAGTGCCCAGATTGCTAGTACTAAGAGCTCAATTCTGATAGAATGTCTAAGCTCAGGTAAAATTAGATTCAGAGATTTTGGTGGTATGCCTCCTTTCTCCTTTCATTAGAAGCCGGATTTCTTAGTCTTCCTTAAACTAGATTGGCAAAACCGAGCATGGCTTTTGCAGCAGAGTGTGTGTACCTGAGAGTGCGGCCAACACCTATGCTATGTCTGGTGATCATGCAGTCCCATCTCTTCCTCAGCAAAGATCTGCTCCCGGGGCTTGGATGTAGCTCAGGGGTAGAGCAACCTGCACAGCATGTACAAGGTCCTGGGTTTGAGCCTCAGTTGGGAAAGAAAAGAAAGAATACTCTCTGTTCCCTAACTTGTCGCCCTATGACATTCATCAAGCCCTCTCCAATGACACTGCTACCCCTAAAGCCTAACAGTGACTATAAAGTGCACTAAGTAAGGCTCTAACAGGAAAACTGCAAGCTGCCTCTAGAGGGCCAACAAGGTTCATCTCATTCTCCTCCCTCTCCAGCAGACAGCCAGGCACTCTTCAGCCTGACTACATAGTATCAAGCAAGCCTGGCTTTTCTTCCTGTCACGGAGGTTGGACGGAACAAAACCCTTTTCCATGGGGTTAAAAACCCCCTCAGGACTATCAAAGTCAGACTACTCTTCCAATAAACACTTGGCTCTGCAGGACTACCCAAGCCAAGGACAGTGAAATGAGGTGAATTACCACAGAAATCTTTATTAAAATGTGTCATCAATAATATGTTAGCATACATACAATATACACACATACATATGTACATTCTTTGACACACCTCACAGATTGCCAACATCAGTTTAACCAATAAATTAAAACTAAAAACAAGGGGATAAGGGGCGGGATATTAGAGGCAAAAATTTCATTTTTTATCTGGTAAGAAATTGCAAATTTCTCAGAACTTCCCTGGGGGAACCCTGACCAGAGAATCTTTGAATCAAAATACATAAATCCCCATCCCTCCCCCAAAAAAGATTCCAAAAGATGCAGTTACAACAAGTGTGCTTCTCAGAGCAGCAGCCTTCACTCCACTTCATCCTCTTCTGGCTTCAAGACAGTCTGGCCCTCAGCTGGAGCAGCGAGGTTCCTGTGGGCACTTGGGCTCGGTGCACCGTGGGCTCTGGGGGTCGAGGGGCAGGCTGCGGCATGGGAACGGGGGGAGCCGCACTCATCTGAAGTGATGTCTGGCACATCATCCGACTGTGTGTCAGAGCTCTCTAGGTCACTGCGGATGCTTTCAGGCTGGGCCAGGCTGATGTCCCAAGTCTTGCTGGCCAAGGAGTCTTTTTGTTCACAGCTTTGGTGTTTGCAAGGGGCATCCTCTTCATTGCCACCACCACCACCGCCACCGCCAGCACCGCCATTCCCCTCCTCTTCACTCTCTGCCATCTGAGCATGGACGTGCAGAGAGTCCTCTGTGCTACTTCCACTCACCAACTGATAGTGACTTGGTTTGGCTTCAATGTCCACTTGGATTTCCATATTGTTGCACTCTCTGTGGGATAAAATTCATTGTGCTGAGTCATACATAGCTCCTCATAAAATAGTTTCTGGGTTCTGGCTTAAGTTGTTAGAAGAGATGGGTCAACGTGGACCAGAGTCCACTTTTCCCTTTTCTACACACACAAACACACACATGCAGACACACTCATTCACTCCTCAAAAACTCTCCTTAAAATATCTAAAAGGATCTTCCAGAATTCAACTAAGGGCCTCATCCTATCTTACTCCAAAAGTGGATGTGAAAGCAACTTGGGAGAAGCCATTCCCCATTGCGGTATGGAGGACCTCAACTACACCAGGTCAGACACACCGTTCCAAATGAAAGCCAAAGAGACTATGGGAGCCAGATCCAGCAAGGGGCAACAGAAGCCCTAGACTTAGACACTAGCTAACATCAATCCACTTCTTAAGTTCCATTTGAATAATTACACCGTGACAACTGCTAGAAAAAAGAAGAGGGAAGAGGTGGAAAGAGAAGACAGGGAGGGAAGGAAGGGGGGAGTGAGTCTCTAAGAGTCAAGCGCTAACAAGAATCAAGAGATGCTCAACACTCTGGGGCCCTCAGATGAGGAAGTGAACTGCTGAAGACCTAGTGTCCAGTGAATAAAGTCTGTCCTGGGCTCTGACTGTTCACATACCTGTCTTGTGGGTTGTAGGAACTGATTATGGAACCGGCCATAGCACGAGTGCTTGCGTTGTCACTAATTGCACCAAGACTGGCTGTGTCTTTGGGGAAAATTTCCTTTTGGACATCGGCTTGCACTTCTAACCTGTGTAAAGAGGGGACGTTGAAGTTAATATGAGACCTGGGTGTTCTGGAGTCTGCTTCCTGACACACATCTCTTCCATTATTCTCCTGAGAACTGTGATGACCTGTTGGATCACCTCCATAGTTCCTCTCTTACACATCAGCTGGAATTATCCCTCCTTTCTGTCACCACTGCTGTTTAATTTCAGGTTCTTCACTAAATAATCACCACTGGGTTCTGCTCCAGAAGCCCCTGACCTAAGTCCCAGTCAAGCAACCTTCCAGAGCAGCGTCAATGCAGGCAAAGTCCTGACCATCCTAAAATCCTCTAACTAATCTTAGTTCCTCTCCTGCCAACAGGCACCTGGGGCCTTTCCGATCTGCAACTGCTCAGGTTCTTTTTCTTACTGTTAAATTCGACATCACAACCTCTCCAAGTTTGCATTTATACTTCCGTGGCTCTATGTATGCTATACCCTCTCTCAAAAATTCCCCTTCCTCTGCCTGAAAAACTTGTGCTAGGCCTTTAGCAACAAAGGATTACATTTCCTCTCATTCTTTCCCAGCAACCACACCTGCAGCTGTGTGCCCAGCCTTCTGTGTCAGCTCACACACCTCTCTCCACTTCTGCTGCAGGAAGGAAGAGCTCACACCTCATTCACACTTTGCCCTTTCTACCCTGGACAGAGCAGGAAGAACTCAAATATTTCCTAATCAAGTTACCTCCAGGCTGTAAGAATGAAGGGCATAGAGGAGCCAACCTCCTCCCAACAGCACTTTCTCAATGGTGTTTCAAAGCTGGGAGCCCCTAACTGCTTCCTTTCTGGCTCAACACCATTTTGTTCTGCACTTCAGTATTTCCTCATAATGGGTTTCCCAGTTAAGCCCATCTGACTCATTCACTTCCCATAAAGGAAAGGCTTTCACAGGGTGCAACAGCTGCCGGCTGCACTGCAGTCTCAGCAAGTCACGCTCCAACTATGTCTGTGGCTCATTCAAGGGGAGTCGGCTTTAAGCGAACACAGTAGTGAATACTCTAGCATGCGGGGGCAGGAGCCCCTAACAAGGGACACCAGTCACAAGATACAGCTAGGTCAGCAGCCTCCATCCTGCTGCCTGTCTCTTTGCCCTAGCACTCTGCCTTAGATGCCCTTCAAGAATGTACTGCGGCCTAGGAAAATGAGGGCAATGTGAGGGGGAGTGTACTCAGGTCTGTGTTCCAGCTTCAGCATGGGCACAACCTTTCTCAAAGTCCACCAGGCCACCTACTTCGTGGCTGCCAGAGGCGGGTTCATGCCAGTGGCTATACTAGAATCATCTTGGGAGACTTTTCTAAACATAGACCACCCTTAGGTTCTACCCCAGGAGATTCTAAGTTATTAATTCTGGAAATATGCTCCAAAAATCTATTTTTAAGAGGTTCCCAGGTGAATGAAGGACACCAAGGTGAAGGATGTAGTCCACTTGCCATCTGTCACTTGCATCTTTTTCACAGCCAACTGGCCATCTGGTCTCAGTCTAAACTTCCAGGACAAACGGCTCAGGATCTGGGAAGGCAGTCTGTCCTCTCTGGGGGCTTCCCACAGCCTCCCCTGTGTTCTCTATATTGCACTGAAACCAGTAGAGGCTGCTGCCAGTCACTGGTTCTTTCTGCCAAAATGAGTCAGAGTACTCATCCTTTTCCCTGCTGGAGGCCCTCCAGGTGCCTGGAGACAAGTACCTCCTTACCTCCTGCCCTGCTGTGCTCCACAAGATGGCTCTTCCCCCACAGAACTCAACTAACTGCTTCTGTCTAATGCCGTTTACACATCTCTGAATATATATTATTGCATTATGGTAGGTCTCAAAGGCAAAATGCAAGTAAATCAAGCTGCAAGTTATTTTTATTGACAAAACTTTATATATTCTTTTTTTAAAAAAATTATTTAACTTTATTTTATGTGCATTGGTGTGAAGGTGTCTGATCCCCTGGAACTGGAGTTACAGATAGTTATGAGAGTTGTGAGCTGCCATGTGGGTTCTGGGAATTGAACCTGGGTCCTCTTGAAGAGCAGTCAGTGCTCTTAACCTCTGAGCTATCTGTCCAGCCCCAGCTTTACATATTCTTTTTTTTTTTAATGCAAATTCTTTTTTTTAAAAGATTTTATTTATTTATTTATTTATTATGTATACAAATTCTGCTTCCATGTATATCTGCACACCAGAAGAAGGCATCAGATCTCATTATAGATGGTTGTGAGCCACCATGTGATTGCTGGGAATTGAACCTGGGTCCTCTGGAAGAGCAGTCAGTGCTCTTAACCTCTGAGCCATCTCTCCAGCCCGCTTTACATATTCTTTTTTTTTTTTTAAAGCTTTATGTATTCTTAATACAAATTTATAGACTTGATCTTCCTACTCTATCCAGTGGGAACAGAAAGGTCAGAAAGAGTACAGCTTCAGGGAGTCAATGTGATACAGCATAAAACCATGCTAAGCCTGCAAGTGCCTTCTAGGGAAGCAGTCTAGCAGGCAGTCTAAGGAAGCAGTGAGAGGTCTAAAGTCAACACTATTCTTTGAACGGACACCACTATGATGCAAAGAATTGGGAACTTTGTGGAAGAAAAATATCACTGGTGATTAAATCAAAGTGGGACTTCCCTGGTATAACGAAATGGCTCAGTGTGTGCCTTTGTATTTGTAATTCCAACTGCTTGTTACAGACCACCTGTTTCCTTACCTGCTGTATTTTCCCTTGCCGCTGGAGAGAATGCCACCACTCAGTGTGCCCCCGGAAAGGGCAGCAAAGCTGGCTGTTTCACTGTAAGGGCCTTGCATAACACTGAGTCCGTCTGTAGGGCTCCCACTGGTGCTCAGCACACTAGTTAGGCCTTCAATGCTGCTCTCCCCAATGCTGGGGTTCTTGAGGGCCCGCCAGGCATCTGCCACTGTGGAGAGAACCACATATCTCCATTTGAGAAACAGCATCATCACAACAGTCTGGGAGGCATTTTCCTGCAATGACTTCTTCAGAGTGGAGGATTTTCATGTTGACAAGCACTACAATATTCACTTGACAAACAAGTAGATACCACACATCAGACTGTTAACATTTGTATTTAATCCTTCCAATAACTAGGGATTAGCAGCTCTTATTTTAGATGAGGAAATAAAATTTTTAGATGAGGAATGAATAGTCAGGCAGCGGTGATGCCTTTAATCCCAGCACTCCAGAGGCAGAGGCAGAGGCAGGTGGATCTCTCTGAGTTTGAGGCCAGCCTGGTCTACAGAGTAAGTTCTAGGAAAGCCAGAGAATCCTGTCTTGAAAAGTCAATTAAAAAAAAAAGAATTTAAAATTAAAGGACTAGTTTAATTTTAACTGCAAGCCCACTACTATTTCCATTACATTGTAGCTATTTTTATCTAACTTAGTCCTCCCTCACTTTTTTTTTTTTTTTTTGAGACAGTCTTATTCTATAGCTGAGGTGGTCCAGGAACTTACTGGTCTTGAACTCATCCTCTGCCTCAGCTTATTCAGTGCTAAGATTGTAAGCAAGTATTTCCAGGTCCTTTTATAATATGATTAATTCATGTATGCTTCTACTACAAAGCTTCAGAGACCCCTGGTGATCTCTCTAAGTGAAGAAACAGTGTTTCAGAGGAGTCACAAGAACAGCCCTCATCTCAGGTCTGCAGAAGCACTTGCTAATAAATACAAGCTTAAAGAAGTTCCTATGCCCAGAAGCACTTGCTAATAAATACAAGCTTAAAGAAGTTCCTATGCCCAGAAGCACTTGCTAATAAATAGCTAAA